AACCTAAATATCGAAATATGCACATAGTACATAGTATTAAATATTATCAAAATAGAATAGTAACGAACGAAATAGCATAGTACATATTGTTTAAATTTTTAAATATTTATTATTGCAGTGAATGAGGTAATGTTTATCCCAATATCAACCCAAATCTACCACAAACTAAACCTAAAACATTAATCACTAAAACCTAGATAGAAATATAAACTCTAATCCAAATATCAAAAATATACAAATCCAAATAAAATAGTAACAATGAAATAACATAGTACATATTGTTCAAGTAGAATAGTACAACCGGCAACTTACAGTATATACGAGTGGTGGTGGTTACGGTGGAAGAAGTGGAGAGTGGTATCAAGAAGATTGTAGTTGTTTTGAAAGATCTAATGGAAAAACTATAAAATCTAAAATTACAGACCTGATTAATAACTAAAAAATGATGATGATAGAAAAAAAAAGATGGTGATTAAAGATACAATAATACAAGTATGGTGTGAAGTTAGTGATAGTGTATCATAACCAGACGTAAAGCAAGGCGATGGGAATGGAAGAAGAGTGGTGGTAGTTGATAATTAAAGAAGAAGAAGAAAATGTTTTTTGTCTTTCATTAACAGGTGACTAAAAAGGATAATATAGTATATATTTCATAAATAATGGAGGAACTTTATTTTTTGGCTAGATAGTTAATTATGATTTTTTTGTGGCTATACAGCCCAATTCCCCTTGGATAAAAGAAGACTTTGTATTAATTTGGACCTTAGACGTTCTAGTGATAAGAAAATCTATTGCAAGAGTGATGGCTTAAAATAACTGTTCAAATAAAACAAACGTAAAAAGCATTCCAAAATCTTAGTTTTAAAACTAATCTATTTTTTCTTGGACAGACATACTTAACATTTTTACTAAAAAGTTCAAAGGTGTAATTGTAGTTGTTCATTAGGTAAAATATTTTCCTGTCTAAATTTTTCCATCGGAGAAAATTCCTTCCAAAAAAAAGAAATAGATTTTAAATTTTTAATACATAAATTGGCGGATGAATTACACTCGAGTAACTTGGGAAAACAAAACATAATAAGGATCATAACTGAAACTAAAACTAAATAAACGACTAACAATTGCACATGAGCATTAAGCAAACAAACTTAGCACATTTTAGAACTTAGTAGAGGTCAAAGATCGGGAATTGTTGCTGATGTCCATGGCATGCCACTTGATAACTTCCACCTCCTCCTGCAACTAAGACACCACGACTTATCGTTGCCTTTCATGCCTTCCAAATGATAACGTCTAAGAACCCAAGACCCTACGACTTTCAGGATTTTCCAAGACAACCAAGACACCACGATTTCCCTGTCCAGTTTTAGATTGTCAATTATTGTTAATATATATGTTTTAGGATTATTGGCCTCGTATATGGTGAGAAAAGAGGAAGTGAGAGCTGGGGACTACGTGAACAAAGGAACTTGTCAAGAGAGAGAAATCTAACCGTACTCAGTTGTTTTTTTTTTTGTTGACAGTTGTTGTTTGCAAATAATAGGAATTGGATTTTTTGGTCTCAAGGAAATAGTTTCTCCACTTTCCCCATTTCTTAAGTTGTAAATTCGTGGGTCAATCCACAGACCACTTATATTTTCTTTTTGTACCCTCTTCCAGTGAAGTAATGAAAAACCGAAAAAAAAAAGAAGTCATTACTAGCTAAAGAAACTTGTGTTGTGAGTGTTTGTCTTAACGTTTAATGGGGTTTAATATTGATGAGGAACATCCCATATCAGAAATATAAGAATTAAATTATTACTACAACTTGTGTTGTGAGTGTTTGTCTTCACTAGTTGTTCTTGGCTTTGATTACCTGATATATATGTAGGTCGAAACGTGTACACGTAGTGTATTTATTCCAGTGAAAGACTAGAGACAGGAAGGTAAAATGCAGAATACCTTTATCAATGATTAATGATCCTTAATTAAAGTTACAAATCTATGTTTTTTAAAATATTGTTTTCCATTTATTTAATTAGTTTAGTTTAGGTTCTCTAGTGTTCAATAACATTAACTTGCAAAACACACAAAGTTCCGGTCATAGTTATAAGCATATATAGTAAGTACCTCATTCAAACTGTTATCTATTATAGAAAAGCCCCGGTCACACTTGATAACATGATCATTAATCAAATATCTTAGGAACAGGGCCGACTCTGGGATTTTGGGGGGTATGTGACGATTCCTATATAAAAAAACTTTTTGGGGGTTTAGACAATTTTTTAGGGGCGTATCTATACTCATGTAATTTTCTTCAAAATTTTTGGGGACCTGAGACAAATGTTTTATTAGGCATGTCCGAGGATCGACCCTGCTTAGGAAAATAAAATATAACCGGACGATGAGCAGCACTGCCGGCTGCCAGAAGCAGTGTTATGACCGGCCATTCAGACACGTTCTAAGACTTTAACTTTTAGTATCTGTTTAGTTTCTCCTTCTACATGCATTATTGATCTCAGCTACATCATTTAATAACTGTAACATTTTATATAAAGAAATAGTGAAACATGCCTCGAGAAACATGTGACAGATTAGCATATATATGACTTTTTCATCACCAAAGAATAATTGAATAAAAATTTGATTTGTAGAACATTAGCATAAACATCATAAATATTATTTATTCAGTCAACAATTATTAGAAACCAATTAGAATAGTATTTAGAAGATCCAAATGCTTATAAATTTGTTTTGACCAATGCTTTCATGTGAAATTTTTGGTAGATCATTTACATTTACAATATATAAATGTTAATAATAATCAAATATAACTAATTTATTTTATTTAATAATATCAAAATTATATTTATTCCAAAAAGTAAACTTATATTTAGAAAAATAAAATTTTAAATTAAAATAGATATTTTTTAAGATAATGGTTTGCATTTATTAATTATTTTAAATTAAAATACAAAATTCATATATATATATATATATTCAAAATATATATATATATATATATATATTATTATTAAAAATAACAAGTTATATATCACTAATTTATATGATAATTTTGTGTATGAGTTATTTACTCTTCTACCAATTATTTTATTAAACATTTATTATCGTCAACCCTACATATCAAGACGTAAATGACAATGTGAGAATTAGAAACTAAGAGCCACAAATTTCTTGTTTAAAAGAATGTAGGGTTTCTGATTATTTTATCTCCAGCAGTTATCAAATAAAAATAGATTTTTCAAAGTTGTTTTTTTTTACAACGTATTAAAGTTTTTATTTGTTTACCACTCAAAACTAATCAGAATAACAAAATTGACCATAAATAACATTTCTAATATTTATCTTTCTGTATTTTGTGAAAAAGATATATACTTCTTTTTTTCAGAATAAAAGATATATACTTTAAAATTAATAATGCTAAAAAGAACAGTTGTACAAGGAATGTAAGCGATGGTTTGCTTTATAAGTTAACCTACATGTATTGGAGAGATAAGAAATACTTAACACGTCTTCTCAATATAAGTATGATTTATCATCACGTTGTAGTCATTCTATTCTGATATCAATAATCTAATCTCATTCTGGAAGAATCAAACCACGAGTTTTAACTGTGAGTTGACAAAAAAAAACACGAGGAGATTTAAAAACACCATTTTGTTGTTGTTCAGCCATCACTATAATTTTTCCAAAAAAAAACACTATTTTTGTTGTTGTTGCTCATGATTTATTACATATTAATCTTATATAATCCGACAAAGAAAAATTAAAAACTAATGTATATACTATTATGCGTATTTTTAATCCAGTTAAAGGTGTTTTTTGTTGACAAAAATGATTCTTTCCCATAACATAAGATTTTTTTTTTTTGTTAAAAGGCCTTAAGTAACAAATTTGTAGAGTATTTTGGAAAATGTTTTAAGTTGTTTACTAGATTTTGACCCGCGCTTTTAAAGCGCGGATTTATTATATTTTTGATAAAATTTATTTGAATTAATAAATTTTATTTTAACACAAAAAATTGTTCTACTAATATTAAAATGTTCTATTATCTTGTTTGATTTTCACGTATTGTGTGTTTTCATATCTGATTTAGACCGTAGTTGAACTGGTATATCCAACAATTTTTGTATAGTCCAGTAAGATTTAATGAAATTTTATTAATTAAAATTTTGATAAAACTGGTAAATATGAAAAAACCCTCTATTAATCCGAAATATAATATTTGTAGATCTGCTAAAAGTCTCATAAAAACTGATAACATTTTTTTTTTTTAAAAGTAAATAACACATACTTTTAAAATTAAAGAAAATTAATTTTTTGTAATTTCTTAGAATTTAATGAATTTATTTTTATTTGAAAAATGAAACAATGGTAATAGAAGAAAAATATTTATATAACAATATCCGTTTTTCATTATTAATAACCTATGATTACTTTACATTTTTACTTATTAAATATCTAAAAGGTAATTTATTTTAAAAAATTGAATTGGTATATCCATATTATGACATAGTAAATAATAATATTTATTTTTTGATCGCTAAATGATATTATGCATGAAAATAAGATATTAAAATTAAAAGAAAGTATAAATTGCATAAAAATAAATTATTATTAAACACAAAATCAGAAAAATATTAATTACCATAAATATAGGAGCGATTTAGTTATTTAGTTTAAATAAATAATAATTATATTAAAATTAAATGCTAGTGGCATATCTTTGTATATAATTCAAAAACTATGGGCAGAATCCTAGGAGGGATTCTGCTTTAATAGTATAGATTAGTAAGATTTTTTTTTTTGAAAATTTTATATTATTCAGATAAATATGGTTTTGACAAAAAAAGAGAGGAAAAGACTAATATGGTCATTACTATACAATAAAATCTGTCTAACAATAAACTACAAAAAAAAATCAAATAAGATATTAGGTGAGTAGAGTAATGAAGGGAAATTCAGAAATAAGAATAAAAATGGGAATATAAAAAGGAAGAGAGGAAGCAATGAGAAGTGGCGTTCTCTCTTCAATCTCTTCTTCGTCCCAATCTTCTGTCTTTTTCAAATATACTCACACCTCTCTCTCTCTCTCTATATATATATATATATATAATCCCTCCTTCCTCAGACATTACTACACAGCTAAAGCCACAACCGTAAGCCTCTTCAATCTATCCAACCGGTTTGGTCATTTCTGTTTCTTTTCCTAAATCAGTGAGATCGGTCGATAAAGATTTGGTTAGTGATTGAATGGTGAGAAAGCAAGAGGCGGAGACGAGGAAGGGAATGCGTCTTGGGAAATACGAGCTCGGGAGGACACTCGGCGAGGGTAATTTCGGTAAAGTCAAATTCGCTAAAGACACCGTCTCCGGTCAACCGGTAGCCGTTAAAATAATAGACAAGTCTCGTATTGCCCATCTCAACTTCTCATTGCAGGTTTCTCATTTTGCATTTTCGATCTAACTCTTCCCTTTTTTGTTTTTTTTTTTTTCCCGTGACTTGTTCGAGTTTACAGGCGGAAGATCCGTTGGAATTACATCATTATTTAAGAAAATTAATTTTTAATATAATTGTGCAGATAAAAAGAGAGATACGGACGCTGAAAATGCTGAAACATCCCAACATTGTCAGATTACATGAGGTTCGTATCCCACTAAATCATTAATTTGTGCGTCATTATTTCTAAAAATAATCATTTTGGATTATTATCGAGTGATTATTTGATTATGTGAAATGTGATCTAGATTCCTTTTCTTTGTTTGCTTCCGGTGTAGGCTTTTGTGCTCTTTTTGTATTTTAGTACCTGAGTATGACAGAACATGAAACTAAATTTTCTGATTTTTTTTTTGGGTAATAACAAATTCTTATTTTTTGCTTATCGTTATTTATTTATTTACTAAAATTTTGATCCATTTTTTGTTGCTATTCCGATTAGATTTGTGGATATTCACTATTTTTAGACTAGTTTTATCTTATCTTATCAAACAGAAAGTGATTAGAACTTGGTGACGAGGATTAGACATCAAATTCTCTGAAAATAGTTGTTTTCTTCGGGAAAATCTTAGCAGTTGTCATTCGGTTTAATTATTTATTTATTTTTTCAACATACAAACTTCATTCGGTTTAATTAAAAATTGTGAAATTTGGTTATCAATTTCGTACCAAAACCATGTTCTTTTTAGCTTGTTTTTCACGTTGCCAAATAAAGTCATGATTATTATTATTATTTGAGAAAGGGCTTAAATAAAGTTATTATTTTCTTAGTTAAACTTACTAATTCCATTATTAAAAATAAATATGACCTTTTCAATCCAAGATGGGTCTCATAATAATTGCCTAATCTTAGGACTCTTTTACGCTTTCTTTTATCACATGCACACACTTTGGTAATATTAAGCATACGTTTTTTTTTGGCATACGTTACTTAATATTTTTTATGATATAATATTTATGTGCATTATCCCTATATGGGTGTTGCTGTACATTTGGGTTATAAAACTGGTAGACGTTTATTGTTGACTTCTAATTATCTTCTTTGCCTTGTAACAAGGATAATCTTTGAATTTATGGTCAACCAACCTATTATGAATTTCACATATTGGATACAACGTAGTCCACGTTTGAGGTCGCGACTATGTCGTGCAGTGGCTAACCTATTATTTTTATGTGTTCTTGCACGTTTTTGACACATAAGGCTTTATTAGGGAAGATCTTTGGATATGATTGAGATCATATATCTGGAATTTATTGATTTTTAATTAGAAGCAAACTATTTGAATTTTCAAACATTTTATCTCAGTATTGACATCTTCTTTTGTAACTTCTTGAAACTAATTGCTAGTGGTCATCATGCAGGTTTTGGCTAGCAAAACGAAGATTTATATGGTCATGGAATGTGTTATGGGAGGAGAATTATTCGACAGAATTGTAAGACTCAATTAGCTTCTGTGCAAGCAATTTTTTTTTTAATTTTTTTTTGGTGTATCTTGAAGCCGAACTCACACTGATATGCCAAGATATTGTCAAACGTTTCTGTGTTATTCACTTCACCTTTACAACTCATATTTATACAACGAAAGCTCCCTAGAATATAGGAGATAAACATGACAACTAAACTTATCCCATAGTTCTAGTATATATCTTCTCAACTGTTTATACTTATCCTAATACTCCCCCTCAAGGTGGTGCGTGTAAGTCTCGAACGCCCATCTTGCCAAGTAAATAGTGAAACTGCCCAGTTGGTAAAGCCTTTGTCAAAATGTCAGCCAGCTGATCAGTAGTTTTGACATGATGAGTAACTATCGAACCGTCTTGAACCGCATCTCGAACAAAATGACAATCAGCCTCTATATGTTTGGTTCGCTCATGAAATACTGGGTTGGCTGCTATATGGAGAGCAGCCTTACTATCACAGTATAAGGACATCGGAACTCGTTGCTTAACTCCAAATGTAGTGAGCAATTCTTTCGTCCACTTCAACTCACTAAGTGTCATTGCCATTGCCCTGTACTCTGCTTCTGCTGAGGACCTGGAAACAGTATGTTGCTTCTTCGTTTTCCAAGACACCAACGAGTCTCCAAGCATAACCACATAGCCTGTAAGAGAACGTCGGGTAAGAGGACAAGCCGCCCAGTCTGAGTCACAAAATGCAGTGATTTGCAAGTCACTTCTAGCGCTGAGAAAGAGTCCCTGTCCCGGAGATCCTTTTAAATACCTGACCAACCTCAACGCCGCTTCCCAATGCTCTTGACGTGGAGTTTGCAGAAACTGTGCCAATGTATGGACTGCATAACTTATCTCCGGTCTGGTCACAGCAAGATACACCAAACGTCCTACTAGTCGCCGATAATCAGTTGGTTGTGTAAGGTAGTCCCCATTGCTCCTAGCAAGATTATGATTCTGTTCCATAGGTGTTGGAGCAGGTTTACAACCAAGGAGACCACACTCTGCAATAATTTCCAAAGCATACTTCTTCTGACACAAATACAGCCCCTCTTTCCCTCTGGAGACCTCTATTCCCAGAAAGTAACGCAGCACTCCCAAATCTTTCATACGGAAACATCGACTCAAGTAGTCTTTGAACAAGGTGATAAGAGACGGGTTGTTTCCACCAACAATTAAATCATCAACATATACCAACACAAATAGAGATGCTTTACCCCGTGTTAAAGAAAACAAAGAGTAATCTTTGTAGTTCTGCTTAAAGCCGAAGTGAAGGAGTGCAGTAGAAAGCTTTGCAAACCAGCATCTTGGTGATTGTCGAAGCCCATAAATAGACTTTTTGAGTCTGCAAACTCGTTTATCATCAGGTGTAGAAAAACCAGGGGGCAGCTTCATGTATACTTCTTCTTCTAGATCTCCATGCAAGAATGCATTGTGGACATCCATTTGATAGAGTTCCCATCCTTTAGCAACAGCAACCTCGAGAACAATCCGCATCGTCGCCATTTTCACCACTGGAGCAAAAGTTTCAGTGTAATCAATTCCCTCTTCTTGATTATTTCCAAGTGCCACAAGTCTTGACTTTGGACGTTCTAATGTACCATCAGCATTGTACTTGTTTTTGTATATCCATTTACATCCAATGGCTTGCTTGTTCGGAGGAAGCTCTGTGATGTCCCATGTGTCTCGGTCTTCCAATGCATCAACCTCATGTTTCATTGATCCTCTCCATACTTCATGTTTTACCGCTTCTTTGTAAGTTTTTGGTTCAAAGTGCTCTGTAATTGTTGCAGCGAAACTCTGCATAGAGGAAGAGAGACGATGACAAGACATGTACTTAGTTAAGGGATACCAAGAGTTACCAGACTTTGATGGAGACGGAGTAGGCGTAGAGGAGCTAGGGGGTTTATCAAATTGCTGTGCAGAGTAGAGTACATACGGTGATAACAAAACTGACTGCTTCTTGTCTCTTTTCCCTCTGCCCAGAGCTTCAGTAGGATCAGATATGTTTTCTATTACTGGTCCGGAGCTATCTCCCCCTGACTGAGAACTGTCTCCCCCTTGCTCAGTACCAGGTTCTGTAGAAGAAGAAACTGGTGTATTGACTATAATCGGAGTATCAAAATCTGTAAGCTGAGGAGGTACGTTAGGCGGGGTTACTTCAGGAGATTGCGTAGAGACTGGCTTATCTTGATAAGGATAAGTGTTTTCATGAAACACTACATCACGGGACACAAACATCTTCTCTGTCTCGAGATCACAAACGAGCCAGCCTTTCTTCCCCATTGGATATCCGAGAAAAACACAACGAGTGCTCCGAGGATCAAACTTGTCTCTATTACGAGAGATACATCGAGCATAACAGAGAGTACCAAAGACACGAAGATTCTCGTATGAAGGAGCACTGCCATATAGAAGCTCGTAAGGTGTTTTGTTTTTCAAGACAACTGTAGGAGTCCTATTTATCAAATATGTAGCTGTCATAATGCTTTCTCCCCAAAACTTCTTTGGCAAATTGCCCTGAAAGAGCAACGCTCTTGCAACGTTCAAGATATGCCTATGCTTTCTCTCCACACGACCGTTCTGTTGAGGAGTCTCGACACATGATGTCTGGTGTGAGATCCCTTCTTCTGCAAAAAATTTTCGTAGACACAAAAATTCAGATCCATTATCACTTCTTATCATCTTTATTCGTTTCTGAAACTGTCTTTCCACGAAAGCACAGAATGTTTTGACAGCATTTGGTGCCTCTGATTTTTCAAGTAGCAATATAGTCCAGACTGCGCGCGAAAAATCATCGACAAGAGTAAGGAAGTAGCGTGAGCCATTAGTAGATGGTTCCCTATAGGGTCCCCAAAGATCACAATGCACCAACTCAAAAGAATCCTTAGCTTTATTATTACTTAGAGAAAACGTGTCCCGAGTTTGTTTAGCTCGAAGACAAACACCACAAGATTGTTCAAAAACACCAACATTATTTGAAAAACCACCAATAGAAGCTAACACTGAAAGCACTTTAGATGAGGGGTGTCCCATTCGATGATGCCATAACTCTCTGTCAGAAACCACTGCCACACGACCAGCTTGAACAGCGACTGCACCTTCATAATGATAAACCCCATTACGCTCTCTACCCGCTCCAATCAAAGTCTTCGAAACGAGGTCCTGTATCACACAAAACTTCTTAGTAAACAACACAAAACTCGCAACATCACGGACAAGTTGTGCTACTGATATAAGGGTTATTGACAAAGCAGGTGAATAGAACACATGTCCCAACACCAGTCGTCCTCCAAGATTCAGATTTCCATGGCTTGTGGCCCAAGCAAGTTGTCCGTTGGGAAGGCTTATCGGACAAGGTGCAATGCTAACCACGTCGGTGAGGAGTTTTAAATCTCCAGTCATGTGATGCGAGGCTCCAGAGTCTATAATAATGTCGAAGCGTCTATCTTTGCCAAACAAAAGCAATTTTTCTTTCTTACCCGCAAGTTTCTCGTTCTGAGACGACTTTTGATTGTTGACGAATTGAGCTAAGGTCGCCCACTGATCTGCAGAGAGATTTGGAATACCAGACACATTGTCTGCAGCTTGTGTCGTCTCCGCAAGCTGTGTATTGTAAGCTCTGTAACCTGAGCTTCGTCCACCGCGACCCCTTCCTTGTGGCTCCGATCCTCTTCCACCTCTAGACGATCTGTCTCCGCCTCGTCCAGCACTCGGTTTGGTTTTGTCCCACCATTCCGGGTAACCAACCACTTGAAAGCAGTTTGTGACATCATGTCCCTGCTTCCCACAATGAGAACAAACTGTAGTTGGTTTCTGAAATCGTGTTGCTGCTGATGCTTGCGCGCTGGTTACATTGGTCTGAGGAACAGACGAAGTCGTTGCCGAGAATCCCACCGCCGGTGTTTTATCATCTGAGATCCTCATGGCATTAAGATGTCTTTCTTCTTGTATGATTTGAGAATAAACAGAGTCGAGGTTTAATTCCATCTGTCTACTCAACAAGTTAGACCGCGTTGTTCCAAACCGTGAGTTGTCTAAACCCATCAGAAACTGATGCACACGAATCCTCTCTTGTATCTTCTCATACTTCAACATTGAAGCACACTCTGCACTTCCACAACAGCATGAGAATCCTTTCTCAAAATCAGCAAGATCATCCCACATAGTTTTAAGTTTGCCGAAGTACTCTTCAACCGTCTCTCCATTCTGTTTGCAAGCTGCTATATCAGCGTGCAACTGGTGTATACGTGTATCATCACTCACCGAGAATCTCCTCTGGAGACTTCCCCACATAGCCTTGGCACTGTCAACCAACGAGATCGAAGGCCTTAGCTTTGGCTCCACACTGCTGTAGATCCAACCAATCACCATGGCGTTCACCATGTCCCACTTTTCTTCTTCTTCAGGCTTCCCAACTGGACGTTTTAAGGTTCCGTCCACGAACCCATTCTTCCTTTTGGCACGAAGAGAATTCAACATCAACTTCGACCATCTTTCGTAATTAGCTCCATTCAAGAGAATAGGAGTTTGTGCGTGTCCCGTGTTCTCCGACGGGTGCAAATAGTAAGGAGAAACAAGAGCGTTTTGGTGTACCGTCAACGCTCCTGCAACATCAGTCGTCATGCTTGCTTCAGTTCCGGCCATTCTAGGTTTTCAAAGCGTGATCTAGTTGTTAGGCTCTGATACCATGTTAACTTTGGGTTTATTATGGGCTTCCAACTTAAAACCAATTGGTGATAAGTGGATTGGCCCTAACCCTTTATATATTACTTAATTACTTTTCCAACTACCGATGTGGGACTTAGTTTCATTCATTAACACTCCCCCTCACGCTCATGCGTGGACAACTGTGGGAACAACATCCACGGAGTGGCCCATCATCGGGTGGCTCTGATACCATGCCAAGATATTGTCAAACGTTTCTGTGTTATTCACTTCACCTTTACAACTCATATTTATACAACGAAAGCTCCCTAGAATATAGGAGATAAACATGACAACTAAACTTATCCCATAGTTCTAGTATATATCTTCTCAACTGTTTATACTTATCCTAATATGATATATCTCTCTTTCAGGTTTCCAAAGGAAAGTTATCAGAAACCGAAGGAAGAAAAATGTTTCAGCAACTCATCGATGGAATCAGCTACTGTCACAGCAAAGGTGTTTTCCACAGGGATCTCAAGGTCCGTGCTCCTCACGTCTTACAAAAAAAATCACTAATAACCTAATTAAAATATTTCCCTCATGTCTCCACTTTTCTCTATATTACAGCTAGAGAATGTTCTTCTTGATGCAAAAGGACATATCAAGATCACTGATTTTGGCCTCAGTGCTCTCCCTCAGCATTTTAGGGTACTTAGAAAATTAACATAACAAGAAAGAGAGTTGTTCTAACTAATTTTCCTCTTTGGCATTTTCAGGATGATGGATTGCTACATACAACCTGTGGAAGTCCTAACTACGTTGCGCCTGAGGTGTTAGCCAACAAAGGCTATGATGGTGCAGCATCTGATATATGGTCGTGTGGTGTAATCTTGTATGTGATTCTAACCGGATGTCTCCCTTTTGACGATAGAAACCTTGTCGTTCTTTACCAGAAGGTAAACCAAACCGCTTCTTCTCTTCGATATCATTAATTAAAAACAGTCTTGATAGAATATTTGGTTTCTTTGTTTCAGATATGCAAAGGAGACCCACCAATACCAAGATGGTTATCACCAGGTGCAAGAACCATGGTCAAGAGGATGCTTGATCCAAATCCAGTGACGAGGATCACAGTCACAGGTATTAAAGCTAGTGAATGGTTCAAGCAAGACTACACTCCTTCAGTTGAAGATGATGATGATGACGAAGAAGAAGTTGACGACACAGATGATGATTCTTTGTCAATCCAAGAACTCGTAAGAATATATCACTTCACTCTTTTAGCATTTGATTCAATACAATGTGTGCTTACTTCTCTCTTTTTTCTTCTGGTGTAGGGATCTGAAGAAGGGAAGGGGAGTGATTCACCGACTATCATTAATGCGTTTCAGTTAATCGGAATGTCTTCCTTTCTTGACCTGTCTGGTTTCTTTGAACAAGAGGTAAAGAGATGGGTATACACTCTGTTTCAAAGATGTGTTTACTTCTTGAGAAATGCATGATTAAAACTAAAACTGTACTACCAATTTCTCAGGATGTATCAGAGAGGAGAATAAGATTCACTTCAAATATCTCAGCAAAAGATTTACTGGAGAAAATTGAAACCGCAGTTACAGAAATGGGATTCAGTGTACAAAAGAAACATGCAAAGGTGAGTCTTCACTATATATGTTTCTCCTTTTTGTTTGCTATTTTTTTAATGTTTAAGAGTTGTTGAGGTTTTAAAACTGTAAACTGTATTTTATTTTCAGTTAAAAATAAAGCAAGAAGAACCGAACCAGAAAGGACAAGTTGGTTTATTAGTAACAGCTGAGGTATGTCAATGAATCATTACATAGTTATATATCACTAGTTTAGTCTATTTAGTGATTAAACTGACTTAATCAAAAGAAACAATCATATGTAAAACAGGTTTTCGAGATAAAGCCGTCACTGAACGTGGTTGAGCTGAGAAAATCTTATGGAGATTCATGTTTGTATAGACAGGTATGTTCAGAGATATTCAGTTTTGTAATTTACAAACTTATATATTAAGAGATATCAAAGACAAAAGTTAACTTTAGTTTTGGGTTGGTGCAGTTGTACGAGAGACTATTAAAAGACGTGGGCACTACCTCGCCGGACCAAGAGCTAGTAACATCATAGCTGTTGGTGTTTTCTGCTGAAGATAAATAGTCGAATTATTTATGGTTACACCTTCGGTTGTTAATAAATTTTTATTTAATATATAAAATACAAAGAGTTCAGTCTATACAATTATTGCAAAATTTTGCCTTCTTAGTATATAGAAAAAGTTTGGTGAAAATCACCTGTTAATGTATATATGTATATAGTTTTGTAAATATGTTGTATACACTATATAGATTCATTTTCATATGGAAAGCTCATTACAAAATCACCTGTTTAGTATGTACATATATAATGTATTCCAGTGTCACGTGCTTGGTTGGTCTTATTCCCTTAGTTGAAATTTTGAATGTAAAGCAAAGACACTCTTAACTTGGCTCCTTTGTATAACAAGAACCTACATTGAATCGACTGTTAAACCAAGAATAGCATCAACATGTCTTCAATTGATCCAACAACGTTAGCCATCTCCACCTTCCCGGTTTAGCTCAAGATCACCAACTACGTTCGTTCTAACAAAGATGGTCATACCGGTGCACCGAGACTTTTAAGTCATGTGAATAATATGACAAACAAATGGGAAAGATTTACGTTGGATATATTGATAAAGCATACACATTGCCAAAAAATGGTTTGGTGTTTAATGGCTAGAGAGACGATCCTCAAGCTCTTTGTTGTATAACTGAATCAAACCGGTAGCATCTTGATGTGGGAGATCATGAAGCTTCTCATCTAAAAGACTCTTATACTCATTATCTCTATCTTCCCATTTACGCATAAACTCTACCTGCAAACACACAAACCACATCAGTCACTAATTATAACAGACAAAAACAAAAGTGTAAGATTATGTTAGGGAAAAAAAAAACTGAACACCGACTTGTTTCTGAAATGTATCGAATTCATCTGAGCTAAGAGATCCATCGCTGTTAGAATCAAGAAGCTGCATCATCTCCTCTGCATCTTCACCTGGAGCTCCAAGCTCTTCCATCACTTCCATTAGTTCCTCTATACTGATCATCCCGTCTCCGTTTTTGTCCAAAAGACAAAACACTCTGTCTCTCTGGTTTGTTGTCGTCTTGAGACTTTGTTGTTTATTAGATGAGAGATCCTTTAGACGAATAGCAGCTAAATCCGCCGCTGCCATCATAATCGCCTTAAGGCGCTTCGCCTTAACACAAATTTTTAAACAAACAACTCAGCCTCCTAAGCCATCTTCTTGCCAAAACCACACAAACAGAACATAATAACTTACCTCTTTTGGATCAGTTAAACCGCCTTTGTACAAAGAATGCGATGCTGTTCCAGCGTTAGCAGACCCATCCATATCCAATGTCCGTATCTGAATCTCCATCAAAGGCCTCGTCTGATCACTATCGCTAACATCAACCGCCATGTGTAAACTCCTATACCCATTCGCCTTCGGCTTAGCAATATAGTCTTTCGTTCTATGTGGAATCTCTTTCCATAGAGTCCTTACAATCTCGCTCGTCCTGTAACAAGCTTTCTCCCCAACTTCATCATCGTTTGGCATCAATATAACCCGGAGACCAAGCACGTCGTTCACTTCTTCCGGTTTACGCCCATCTCTAAGTAGCTTCTTCATCATACTGTACCGGCTTTTATACCTCCCTTTCACATATACATCATCCACCATCCCAACCAAAACCAAATCATCTTTCAAAGACCGATGAAGCTGCTCTCTGTACACATCTATCAACGGCTTACCCCCGTCCTCATGACCTCTCAACCAAGAATCCAAGTACAGATACGAGCACGGGAAAAGATAACGGAAAGAGATGTCCTCAAGCTCAAGCGACAAGTGATTAGCCCCCACTGCATGAGCCAAAGGAGAGTAGATCTTCAAGACTTGAAGAGAGATAATCTGCTGGCGATACTTTGGTAAGTGATCTAAATGCCTCATCTCATCAAGCTTTGAGACAAGGTCCATGATCACAGCTCTGATGTCGTAGTAGGTGAGGTAGAATTTTCTAAGGGAAGCAGCTGTTTCGTCGTCTAAGACATCGACTTTGAAAGGGATGTTTTTGACGCGGAAGATCTCGTGGAGAAGATGAGCAGTTCCGGTGCCTATCTGGTCTCTAACTTCGTGTATGGATATCGCGTTTGCCTCCACGGCTTCACTTAATATGCTGGCTGAGATTACTTCAGCGTCCATCTGACATTACAAAATGATGTTGATGATGACTCAAGGTATTAATGAACAGATATGTAATTCTGATGAGCAAACACATTGTATGTTTCCTAGCAAATTGACCTCCAATTCTCGCCAACGGAATTAATAACAGAATATAAGCATCCAAACATAAAACTATGTCCGAGCATTTAACTGAATCCTAGATTCGTCTAAAACCTAAATCCGTACCCAATCTAATCTAAAAAATACTCAAATAATCCTCTCGTATCATGTACTCCCTCGTTTTATTTTAGTTGTTGTTTTAAGTTTTTACACATAGATTAAAAAAACATTTAATTTTATATATTTTCAAAATAAAAACACAATTACCTATACAATCAACCACATTTCAACCAATAAAAAATAGAAAAAATATATAAAGTTAATAAATTATGGTTTGAAACTATAAAACTACACTTATTTTGATACGAAAATTTTTCTCTACAACACATGTAAACTGAAATGGAGGGAATATTATCCAAACCGGATGCCCGAAAATCCTCTGCAACCGGGACTCGAATAGATATCCGAAGATCCAAATCAATATCTCATGCAAATATAACAAAACTTATTTAACTAATTCAAAAATTCAGTTTCATGTTCATTTTAATATGATATGCAAAATATTTGAATCCGGAGTATTATTAACCGAATCCGAGTTTAGAACCTAAATAGAGTGATAAAATATCCAAACCCGAGGTATTATTAACTGAATTTAGGACTAAATTCTACATTGCCCCACTCACTACCATCTTCATTCTATTTTAACCCATCACAAATTTATTTTTTATTTTTTTTGCTCAAGTCTAAGTATAGTTAAAATATCAATTACCCTTAATGAATCAGTATTATGTGTAATATGAATTACTAGAAACTACTTTGAATTACTTTGAATTACTATAAACTACCTTAAATTACTAGAAACTACTATGAACAAAAAACAAACTACCTTGAATTACTAGAAACTACTACGAACAAAAAAAAAAAAAAGTGGGGCAGTGAGAAAAATAGTGGGGTACTTAGAATAGTTATTTTCCAAGTAGGGTATATCAGAATACTTTCCCTGAATTTAAGACTAAAATGAGGTGTTAGAGTGAACCCGAAAAAACCCGACCCAATTCCGAGTGGTACCCTAACACTCAATTCCTAAATAAAACACGTGGCAATCCAGGGAGAGAGGAACCTGGAGATCGGCGAGGAGGATAGAAAGGGAAAGAGCCTTAGAGAGAGGAGAGCGACCGTCAGAGGCTAGAGGGAGAGACTGCAAGATCGGAATCGAGAGCTTCAGAGCCTTAAAGAGTAACCTAGACGAAGACGTCGACAACCAAACCGAATTCATCCTCTCCGTCACTTCGTTGAATGCTCCAACTAGCTCCACCACCATTCTCCCTCCCGCTGCCTCCGGTGACCGAGCCGTCGCGGTATCCTCCGCTTCACACCTCGGATTCCACCGTCGACGTCTTTGGTGAATTAAGTGGATCGAGTGAAGGCGACGATGCAGTGTCTGGGAACTGCATCTTGGGATTGGAATTGGAGATGGACGAATCGTAGACATTCAAGAAAATTATGTGAAAAAAAGTGAATTAATTATTTGAATTTATAAATCTACCGTTACATTTTTTATTTGCAGTTGTGGATAAGCCACGTAGGATTTTGTGTTGCTGTCCACATATTTTTTTTTTCTTTTTTTGAATGGGGCAAATAAATAAATAAATAAATACTCCGCTTTAGGACTACAAGTAGCATTTAGGACCTTCTCCTTAGCTTAGCGGGTTTGTCACGAGTATCATTTTGGACCCTCTCTTACGGTTAGAAGGTTTCGTTCACTATTAGCATTTTAGACCTTTTCTTGACGTAGAGGGTTTGTTACGAACACCAATCTAAAACCCTAAACCCCAAAGCTTCCGAGTTCCTGTTACCTTCTTCTGACACTGAAGCTTACTTCGGTCCGAAACCATGGCGTCCGTACCGAGAGGCCTCATTTCTCGCATCAGAAGTCACCCTTCACCCTCGCAATCTCTTCCCGTTTGTAGTTTCTTTCTCCTCCGACCATTCAGCTCCGATGCTGGGTTCACTGAAGGTAGTGGATCCGATATCCTCGGGGCTCCGACCCGAATCATCGAGGCGAAACCCGGTAAAATGACCCGGAGCTCTAAAAGGACAGGGATGATCGCAGTAAAGTGTGGGATGACTGCACTCTGGGACAAATGGGGAGCTAGGGTTCCTATTTCTATCCTTTGGGTTGATGACAACATTGTCTCTCAGGTTAAGACCATTGAGAAAGAAGGAATCTTTGCATTACAGGTAGTTTTTTTTTTAATCCGCTAGTGTAGTTATGAAGATGAGTGTTTGTTAAAGTCTGATCACGGCTTTGTGTTCTGTACGTTGGTTTTAGATTGGATGTGGGCATAAGAAACCAAAGCATTTGACAATGCCTGTGTTGGGTCATTTTAGAGCTCAAGGTGTGGCGTTGAAGAGGAAGTTGAGAGAGTTTCCTGTGACGGAAGATGCTCTTCTTCCCCTTGGGACAGAACTTGGTGTTCGCCATTTTGTTCCCGGGCAGTATGTTGATGTCACTGGGATCACTCGTGGGAAAGGTTTTCAGGTGAAACTATACTTATATCACTCGTGGGGAAAGGTTCTTGTATAGAGTAAGGTTTTTGTTATGTAATTTTGCAGGGAGTCATGAAAAGGTATGATGCGGCTGGAGGGGATGCATCACATGGTAATTCAAAGGCGGAGCGATCAATTGGTTCTACAGGTCAAAGAGATGATCCAGGAAAGGTATATGTGTGTCAAAAAATTTGCTTACTAATGAAGCAATTTCACAAGAAGTGACGTTGTTAAAACACGTTGAGACAGGTATTCAAGGGACAAAAGATGCCTGGGAGAATGGGTGCAGAGGAGAAAACAGTAAAGAACGTTTGGGTTTACAAGATTGATCCTGCCAGGAACCTTATCTGGGTGAGAGGACAAGTAAGTATCTGTCAATCTACGAGTAGGTGTCTATATATGTGAGAGTGTCATTGGGTGTGCTTCTTAGTAGGTCAAGAATATTGTGAAAATTTGTGTTTGTTTGCAGGTTCCTGGTGCAGAAGGAAACTTTGTGTTCATAAAAGATGCGTTTTACAAGAAACCAGACATCTCGAAGCTTCCATTCCCAACGTACTTAGCACCAGAAGATGAGGACCCTTCAGAATTAGAACCCTTAGTTGCAGATCTCGGAGAAGTTGACCCGTTTATGCTGGCAGAGTGATGAAGTTGACACGATCATGATCTTGATTTTGGCTTTTTCTTTCAATTTTTTTACGTTTGTGGAAGACAAGAAGCTGAGGAAGTGGATCACAGAGCTAAAGGTTTTTGCAGATGGAAAATTGACTTCTGATTTAGTTTTTTGGAATTGGATATGTATTAGAGGAGTTTAGTCTCAGGCATTTGTTGAATCTTGATGCATAAGAGTTTGCAATAAGCAATAAAGAGACAGAAGTTATGTCTACACATAATGGTTTGTATGGTAAGAAAAAAAAGGTCCATAGTTTAATCCTCTACACAAGTTGTTTCATCTCTCTCTCTTTCTCTAGCTTAGGGTTAACGTTGATGAAAGGGAGAGAGTTGGCAATCTTGTTGACTTAGCCATGAATCAAAGATAAGATAGTTTAGAAAAGGATCAAATTTCTTGTTTGGATTGGTAGAATATATAAACCTGTTTGTGCAACACGGACATCTAGGCAATAATACATAACGATGATGGAAGGATGTAATGTAAAAACCGTTGTGACGTGTGATAGATTACTATTGGAACTCATTGGTTCATCAACTCCTCTACGTGGCTGCATGTTTCTTTCAACACAGAAATCGTCCTGATCTTATATGGCTGTACGTAGGTAATGACTATCATTAATTTGATTCATGTGTGATTATATAAAACTGATTTTGTAACAGATATATATAGACATTGACACAAGAACAAGAGCTTGATCACAGCTGCATGGTTCGGGTACTGACTGAACCACACTTGATGATCTTTAGCGACGAGGAGGGAGCGAGCAAGCAAGGAAATAGTGTGACCCCACAAATAGAAAATTGGATAATTTTTATAGTATTATAATAATCAAACAACGGATAGGTCACACATGTGACCCCACAAAAGAGTTGGCGCTGTGCTGTCGTGAGACCGTTTTTGTTATTTGTTAACTACCGAATATCTGTCTTTTTTTAATAATTAAAATTAAAATAGATAGTGATCTTTAAAAAAAAACTAAATTTAAAAGAAAATACCACTTCACCTGACAGCTTCTTCTTCTTGTCTCTCACTTTTCCGTTGTTCGACGCTCTCTGTTTCGTCTTTCATAAAAAGAAAGTCCCAACCTTTAGTTTTCGTCAAGCTAAAGGGCTTTTTGTTTTGGCTTTTGGGGGTTGTTTGGATACGGTGAAGCTTTTCTTCTCCGGGAGATTTTCTGTGTAGGGCTCACGGGCCAAGAGGGGAAATTCCGGTTTATTTTCGCCGGAATCTGAATTTCTCCGGCGAACATGGCTTCTAATCTCCCGATGAGCCCTCAATTGGAGCAGATCCATGGTGAAATCCGTGACCATTTCCGAGCTCTCGCGTATGCTTTTCCTCTAACCAACCCCTTTCTCCTTTATGTTCATTCTCAGAGGCACTGTGTTTATGTTTTGAGTATCTCTGAATCTATAAACCAAAAACACTGGACTTTTCAAATTCTTACAATCATTATATGTTTTGTTTGTTAGGATTTGAGTGTTTTGGATTTATGTGTGGTTTTGTTTGTTGAATATTAGAGATAGATAGAGGTGTGTCACCTGGAAAGATTGTTCTTTTAGTGAAAACGAATTATTTTCTTCTGTATCTTCAGGAATGGTTTCCAGAAGTTGGATAAGATCAAGGACTCATCTAGACAAAGCAAGCAACTTGAAGAACTTACTGACAAGATGAGAGAGTGTAAAAGGTGTGGACTCTGTCTTAGCATCACTTTTTTGTCTCTGAAAAGAGAATTATTGCTTGAATCACCTTCTTCTGAATGATTCATTATGAGGCTAACTTTTCAAGTCCTGGAGAGAGATGGATAAGATTCTGTATACTGAGAAAAGAAAGATTTATCTTTTGACAAAGTAAAATTTTCTCCCATGATTCAGTGATATTCAATATCTTTTCTTTCAATGTCAGGTTGGTGAAGGAGTTCGACCGTGAGCTCAAGGATGAGGAAGCTAGAAATTCTCCTTAAGTAAATAAGCAACTGAACGACGAGAAACAGTCTATGGTGAGTTCATATTCCGCTATTTATCAGTGTGTTGATGATATTCATTAAGGCCTTACTTTGATTGTACTACTTTTTCATGTATCTTCTTAAGTAAATGTATGAATATTAGTATTTGAAAAGCACCTTGTTAGTGTCCACTTTGCAGAATCAATCATATTCAAGTTCGGATATCTAAAGGAAGATGTTGAATGCCACTTTGCATTTTATTTCTGGATATTTGTTAAGTTCTGTTTTTAACTTTTCCCTTGTGTTTGATGTTACAGATCAAGGAACTCAACTCTTACGTTGCGCTAAGAAAAACGTAAGTGCTTCTATCAATTCTTCTGTAAGGAGCAGATTACTTGAATCTCGTACCTGTCCTTTTTGAGGTTTGATTTCATACATGTTAACATGGTATCTGATCTCAGGTATATGAGTACCCTTGGAAACAAGAAAGTTGAACTATTTGATATGGGAGCTGGAGTCAGTGGCGAACCTACTGCTGAAGAAAACGTTCAAGTGGCTTCATGTGAGTCTTTATTCATGCTTGACCATTTAGTTACTTTGAAGATATGACCTTGCCTAGAACATCAAAAGAATTGACAGCTGAAGCTTTGACTCAATGACTCATTGATGTTTTATTTAGTTATGCTTCTTGGTTAATAATCTAGCATAATTAATGGTGTGTTAGTTAGTTTCTGCAAACAGTACTATGGTATTAGAAGTTTACCGGTTGGCCTAGATGATATTCAACTTGTTGCTGAACTGTATTATTCCGAGATTAAGACATCGGTCTGACTTAAATAAATAGCATGTTTGAATTTGTCATGAAGTAGATTATTTTGGGAATGTGAAAACCGGGAAAGGGATGGCGCTTAATTTCATTTTTATATTTATAGCTATGTCAAACCAGGAGCTAGTTGATGCTGGAATGAAAAGAATGGATGAGACAGACCAAGCCATTGAGCGCTCAAAACAAGTAAGTTACAGCAAGAAGTGTTTCCCTTTCAACCATTGTTAATATAACTTTCGGTAACACTCGTGTTCCTTACAGGTGGTAGAGCAAACACTCGAAGTTGGAACTCAAACTGCAGCTAATTTAAAGGGACAGGTAGTATTCAAAGCAGTCTCCATCTCTTCCATGTTAATCTTATGAGTACAGTTCTAATCATATTAGCACTGAAAAATACTGCAGACGGATCAAATGGGACGCGTGGTTAACCACTTGGACACGATTCAGTTCTCTATCAAGAAGGCTTCCCAGCTAGTGAAAGAGATTGGAAGACAGGTTTGAAACCTCATATCTCTCTCTCTCTCCTTTTGCTTGACTTGCAAAACCCTGAATCTATTTGTTTACTTTTATATTTTTCAGGTGGCTACTGATAAATGCATAATGATGTTCCTATTTCTCATTGTATGCGGTGTTGTAGCCATTATCATAGTGAAGGTACTTTTTTTGCTCACTCCATTTAAAGTCGTGATTGCTCAGTATTGAGTTGTAAGTTGTAACACTGTTTCTTTGCTCTTCAGATTGTACACCCGAATAACAAAGACATTAGGGACATACCAGGATTAGCTCCTCCAGCGCAATCAAGGAAGCTATTGTACTTGAGGAATCAAGAGTATATGGGAAAATAGAAACATCTCTGTCTGTATATTTATTCACGTTGAATGAGGAAATTGCATCTTGAGGTTCTATATAATTCATCTGCTTTACTTTTGCTTACAAAGTGGCATTGTGTGCTTTGATAGTTGCCAAGGCTTGGGGTTATTATGTTCATGTTCCTCTGTGTTTTGTTTTCACGTAGTCATTTGAATCTTGGTTTTTGATTGGAGGGTGTGTATATTGTCATCTTTTGTCTCTGTTTTCTTCTCTCTTGTAGCAACTTACCACTTCTTTTGTATAAAATTCAGACTAAATGTTATACTCTCTCTCTCTTTACAAATCTTAGACACGAGGGGCATACAGTCTAAGGCAGATGTGATAGCACCAAGCCTATTGCAGAAGTTCATGATCTGCTACTTCTCTTGCTAGAAGGGAATTGTACACTTTCTAATTTTTACAAAATAGCACAAAAGCAATTCATTTGTATATATATGAGACAAATAAAAAGGTTATTTCTCTAATTTACACAAATCATATTCAAACAGAAACAAATTAAAATTGTGATGATGAAGCGTATGGCATCAGCCTGGATGATGTCAATAAGGGTTGTTATTCTGAGGAGTCTGAGGAGCAGAGCGAGGAGGGTTGAGCAAAGGCTGAAGAGCCTTCACTACTATGCTCATGTTTGGCCTGAAATTTGCCTCATATTGCACACAAAGCGCAGCTACAGCAGCCATCTGATCAATAACCAGTCATAAAGAGAAAAAAAAAAATCAAAACCATACATCAATAGGTTCTATTGTCAGAAGAAGAGATCTTGTCACTTTCTCTACTGAAACAAGTGATAGTATGAAAAAGGTAACATGGGAAGTTACCTTGGCAGCAGCTTTGGGAAGATACTCTCCGTTTAGTCTTGCATCAACACACTGCTTCACGTTGTTTTCACTCAGTTTAGGTGTTGCCTGAGCCACACACACAAAGGCATTTTTATTTAAGAATGGTTTTTTGTTTATAGTGAAAGAGGCAGAGAGAGAGCTGCAACAAGCATTACCCATGTCACGAGACTCTGCTGTCCTCTTGGTAAAGTATGATCAACTGGTTTACGACCTGTGAGGAGCTCTAGTAGAACAACACCAAAACTATACACATCACTCTTTGTGCTCAACGTTCCTGTCATTGCATACCTGAAACGCATAACCAAGAACAATTGTGTAGTGTGTTTAAGACTTTACTCTAGTTTGATCAATTATAAGAAATGCAAGGCATGCAACAAAGGAAGCAAGTAAAAGGGGCTTAATTACTCTGGGGCGTGATAACCAAAGGTTCCAAGCACACGAGTTGAGTGAAGGCGTGCAGCCATGTCAGGGGCTTGATTAGACAAATCAAAATCAGCAATCTTAGCAACATCATCTTCAAACATAAGTACATTGCTTGATTTGATGTCTCGGTGGACAACATGAGGGTTTGCCTTCTCATGCAAGTACTCAAGTCCTTTAGCTGCACCAACAGCAATTTTTACTCTCTGGTGCCATGACAGAACAGGACCTGGCTGTGCTCCTTTCACACCTTTTCTACCTGCACCAGCAAAATTCACCAAATTGGACTGTAGTTTCACATGTCAAAGTCTTACTGAATCAATGTTTTTTACATTAGTAACTTACCATGAAGAATATCATGAAGAGATCCATTAGGAGCATATTCATAAGCAAGTACACGGAGTGGGCCATCAACGCAATAGCCTAGAAGAGCAACAACATTGTCTTGCCGCAATCTAGAAACCATTGAAACCTGTTATAGATTTTATGTCAGTAAGTAGAAACAGTTTCCTTATAGCCAGGATCGGCCAAACTATTTTAAGACCCAATTCAAAATAAAATTTTGGGCCCTTTTTCTTTAAGGTAAAATTATTTTAAAAAAATTTGGGCCCTTTTCTTAAGCAAAAAAATCTCAAAATCATTACGGGCCCTAAGCAGTTGGTTATTCTGTCTCCCCCATGGGCCGGGCCTGCTTATAGCCAATATCTATGAGATAAAGTCCCAAATCATCTACCTGGGAGAGAAATTCTTGATCCGGTTGCTTACTGGAATCAAGTTTCTTAATAGCAGCTGCCTTTCCACTTTTGAGAACACCATAAAACACTCTTCCATATGAGCCCTCACCAATCAAGGACTTTGAACCATAGTTATCAGTTATATCCTTGAATTCATCTGCTGGAATGGCTGGCACAGCTACAGGTTGCATCTGTATAACTGGTGGGTTCTTGAATGGTTCTGGCCTTTGATGGTGACCATTGTAACCTTAGTAACGGTTGAAAAAAGTTTATTAACTTAGCCGCCAAAAAGGATGAAGCAGTTAAAAACAAGGGATTGATTATAAGCTAAAACTACCTGCTGTGTTGTATGCTGTCTTTGGTCCTGTTTCAGTAAGTTTATGGAATTCCTCATCACCACAACAACCAAAGCAGCTCATTAGGCTTGTCTCTCTTACACACACTTGCAAAACTGTATAACACAAAACGTCAACAAATGTCAGTAATGGTGTTGCAGAACAAGAACTAAAACTTAAGTAAGGTAGCTTTGTTTTTTGTTTTTTTTTGTCACAAAAAGGTAACTTTGTTTCCCAAAAAAAAAATAGACAAAACAAATATAGAAATGTTAAGACACAGACTCGAACAAAAGTTTCCAGTTATAGGGTTTAAGCAGAAACAGAGATAGAACTATCGGATATCAAACGGAAACATTTTTTAAAAAAATTCATCATTATTAACACAGGAACGTATTTTAAAAAAAAAATCATCATTATTATGACTATTAGCATAGTAAAGTATCCTTATATGTGTATATGAATATATATACATTTTTAATAATATATATACTTTACTATGCTAATAGTCATAACCGCATAACTCGGTCAAGATCCATACACGAACACCGTGGTGACCAAGAATAACACAGTTACACAGGTCAACGACCGTAACCGACTTTCAGACATCATCATAACCAACATCAAACCGAGCCTTATATAAGAACATCCCATCAAAGTCTCGGTGTACGAACATAAAAGGAAAGAGCCCGAAAGGGAAAGTTCATGAGAGTTGCTCAGAAGAAAGAAAGCATTAATTTACCTTTTCCAAGATAACCACAGAAGAGAAGAGACGAGTCGAATCTTTAGGTGATAGAAGAAGATTGAAGAAGAAGCTATGGAGAATATTCTATCTTGTTCGTATGGTTTGTGAAGCTTGCGCTTAACTAAGAAGAGAAGCAGACTTTTCTTCTTGGCGGAAATTTACAGTAAATGATAATTATATAGGGTGGAGTAGACGCGCAAGTTAGCTACTTGAACGTAGCAGCCTTCGCAACTGTTGATTGTTTCGTGTTTAGAGGGGTCAATAGTCTTTATTTACTAGTTAATTAACCATTTGGTTATAATTTAATTGTTCGTGGGTTAGATATTACCTAATAATAATTAGATAAATAAACATTTCACATAATTGCATAACCGATCAACAAAATATTGAAATAAACACAGAGAAGTTCAACTGTTTCTCTATGCTATTTAATATAAGTGGATCATATCATATAATAGAATCACATAAATCTTATGTTGACTTTCTTTTGCGTTACGAAATAAACTATAGTATATATCTCTTACTATTTTTTCTACAATAAGTAGTTTTCGAGTGGTAAGGCTCACATACAAAAAAAAATTGAAGATTATGAATAGTACTACTATGTAATTGAAAATGGGATATAATAAGGTTGTAATTGTAAGCTTTTATAGGTCAAGATGTAAAGAAAGAGTCTGTCTTGACCATCAAAGATGAACGTGTTCCTTGTGGTAGTTGGTCGTCGGTCTACAAGTCAACCACCACTTGGATGCTTTCGCATCTGTCTCACCTCAATTTCGAGTTTACACCATCTTTTCTTTTTGATACGTTTTTTCATTTATTTGTGTGATTTTTTCGTCAATTTTAGGAATATGGACTTGTCTTCTTTTTTTGGACTTGTCTTCTTCATTTGAAACTTTTTACCACTTAAACCACACTAAATAACCGATCGGTGACATGTAGTGTTGAAGTTGAATTGCGATATGTATTATAATTTGATGTTGTAAAGATCATATGGTAAAAAATGTAATTTTATGTGGTAAGTTTACAATAAAAAAAGAGTTGTCGTTTTAGTAAAACTGATGACGGATAATTTGTTTGATGTATAAATTCCAGTATGGATTTTAATAAATATATAATAATAAATTATTATTAATAACACAAAACATTATCCTATTTAAAAAGAATAATATTTTTTTATTTAATATGTATAAAAATAAATTTTAATAAAAATTAAGTTGTGATATATATTTTCTAAGTACTATAATTACTGATGATATTTTTATCCGATGTCAATAAAAATAACTTCAAAATTTCCATTCGAAATAAAATTTACAACTAATAAGATTATGTAAAACGATCATTCAAAAAATAGAAACAAGAAAGATTATAAAGAATCTTTGACTAAGAAAAAAATTGGTGATGTTGTATAACATTATTTAAAAATTAGTTCCAGAAATAAGAGTAAAATATTGCTATTGTGGTTTTGGAAATATAAATAATTTTTAGAAAACAAAAGAAGTCCAAAATGTATAATGTATAAGTTAAATGACTTGATTCATTATAGAGAAGGTGTACAAGGTTATATACAGAGGAGATTGTACTAGGGTTATACATCATTGCTAATTACATTAAGACCCTTTCCTTATATATCTATATAATGCTAGCTTTTTGTACATGTGTGTGTTTTGAATATGTTTTGTCACTTGTATTTCTGACAGAAACTTAAATTATAACTGTAACTCAATTTGTAAAACATGAAATCGGTCATGAAGTTGCATTAGTTTTTGATTTAACAATTTTATAAAAGATGTAATTCAAAATTGTAACTCAACCACAATACATGATAACTCAAACTTAAAATTGAAAACTAATTTTAATGTATGATTGGTGACATATTTGAGTTATCTATGAATTAAATTCTTAACTCAACCTAAATCAATGTTACAAATCAAAGTATTAAAGTTGAAAAAGTAGTTATACAACAGAAAACCAAAAAATTAAAAAAAAAAAAAAAAAAAAACAGAACCAAAAATACAAGAATAATCAGGCTTACTTGAGCTGTGTTTGTTTACTAGTTACCCATATGGGCTAGGACGGGCCATAGGCCATAAAAGCAATAAAATGTTTGCAAAATGGGTACATTCAATCCTTATTTTAGATTTTATTTCTCCATCACCAAGCCCACTGTCAGCTAAATAGGCTCAACTATTTCTTTGATTTAAGGTCCTAAGTTTTTGTCCATTTTGAGTCTAATAACTCAAAAAGTTTCGGAAGATAAATTAATTTGGTTATTCAAGGAACATGTTATTTTTAGGGTGACACAAATGATCGATACCCATTAACTCGACTCGGTTTGAAAAAACAAATATTTGATACAATCAAATCGCATCACAAGTAAACGGATTTTATTATTCGCAAGTATAAATTAAATATCAAATTCATTTTATGTTAGCTACTTAACTTGTTATTTAATTTATTATTTGTTATCATTTACTTGTTCAGTTACTTGTTTTTATATGTTATTAAGTTTATTAAATACTTGCTATCTATTTTATTAGTTAATTAAAATACATGTATTATATTTATGAGTCGAAACAATTACTCGTTACTTGTCTCATATTCGTTATTTGATTGGTACGTGATCCATAAATCAAAAATACTTGTTTTGATCAATGATCAAGGCGAATATCAAATAGCTGATTTAAATTACTTACAAGTAAAAGAAAAATATAAAATATTAAAATTCAATTAATTATTTGCCATTGTTTGGTTTATTACCCATTTTTGTTAATAACTAAAGATATATTTTTAAATCATGTAAAATAACTCATTTAAGAGAATCAAACATCAGTGATATATTTATATAATCATCTTAGAAAAATTTCTTTCTTATATAATCTCTTTCACAAATTGACTAAAATACAGAAAACAATGATATATTATTTATATATAATAAATTAATTTACTTTTAAATTTCAAATAATTTATTTATAATTACAAGTAATTTGTAAATAATGTACAAATAATAAGTAATAAAATAAATAATTTGTAAATTCGTCAATTTTTTTACAACTATTTGAAACTGTAAATATTCATTTTGGCAAACTAAATACAAATAGATATTACTTGTATAATTCAAACTGAATATTAAGAATACATTAAAATATCAAATATTCTGTCTTGTGTCCACCTCTGTTATTTTAATTACTTCATAGTACAACATAGGCCTGGGCAAAAAAACCGGAACCGAAGAACCGAACCGAATCGGAATTGAACTGAGAACCGAAAAGATACCCAAATATATAATAATATTAATTTTATATATAAATAACATAACTAAATATATGATTTTAATTTAAATAATTATTAAAAGTATCCGAAAATTGTTGAAGATAACTAACTAATTATAGAGTATCCGAACTACGGATAATTTTATCTGAATTATCCACAATTTGTATCTAAACCGTTCTAATTATTTGATATTTTATCCTAAATAACTGATAATTTACCCGAACTCGATCTGGAACCAAATGAGAATCAAATTTTCTAGGTGTTTTCTAGTTCCTAATTTTACTATCCGAATCGAACCAAACCAAACCGAAAGTAGGTCAAGTAGTAAATGAATCCTCTAATTCTCTATCCGAACTGTCCGAAAACCAAAATATCCGAACCGAACCGATACCCGGAATGCCCAGGCCTAGTACAACATCTAACATATGCTCAATTCGTCTAAATCGGCTAAATTGAATAGACGTTAGCCATTGGATCACCACTCGTCAAACGACTTTGTTTGTAAGTATTTACTTCCAATACGTTGTAAAAAATCAGTTTGCGATCTTCCCTAATCCATATAAACAAAATTATTGGCGTCACTGTTCATTTTTGCCTTTTCAGAACGGACAAGATAAGATTCAGACCATCGACCCAAGTGGTCTAATTTGACACCTTAGCCGACACTAACAAAGAGAAATAAAAATGAAGAATTCTTTTTCTTTTTTTTTGACCAAATAAAATAAAAAATAAAAAAAATGAAGAATTCTATGTCGTCTTTTTGCCAGTGTCACAGTGGACCCATATCACTAAAAAGAGTAAAGAAACAGCCTGTATGTTTCTCTATTTCCCTCCCAAACCGGTTTCCCGGTTATTAATTATAATCCCGTTCTCACACACCGACACAAACCTCTTTCTCTATTAACTTCTTTACACGATTCACGGTATCAAAATCATTAATACAGATTTACATAAGCTTCAAAAATATCTTACAATTAAAAATACGATTTGCATCATTACCGATCTTCTTTAGATGCTGTCTTAGTTGTACTTGCACGCGGTGGTCCAGTTAAGCAAATCCAACGTTTGATATTCTCTTTCCTTTTACAGATCTAATCTGAACCGTCAGATTAGATCTCACTTTCTCTGAAGTCTGAACAGAGTACACAGAAACGAAAGTGGGAATGAATCTAGACGAAATTACGATCTTACACCACCTCGTATGCTCGCCTATATAAACCTTCGCCCCTCTTCCTTTCTCCTTCGTACTACCACCACCACATTTCTCTAACAGTATCCATTACTATCTCACCTTCAGGTATACATATCTTGATTACTTTCTTGTTTATTATTACTCTGTTTTTTTTCTTCAATACTCTGTTTTTCTTCTTCAATACTCTGTTTTTATCCTTCAATACTCTGTTTTTTTCTTTAACACGCTGTTTTTCTTGAATCAGATTAAAAAATGGAGTCTTTTTTGTTCACCTCCGAGTCAGTCAACGAGGGACATCCCGACAAACTCTGCGACCAGATCTCCGACGCTATCCTCGACGCTTGTCTCGAGCAAGACCCCGAAAGCAAAGTCGCTTGCGAGACATGCACAAAGACCAACATGGTCATGGTCTTCGGCGAGATCACCACCAAAGCCAACGTCGACTACGAGAAGATCGTCCGCAAAACTTGCCGTGAAATCGGTTTCATCTCCGACGACGTTGGCCTAGACGCTGACAACTGCAAGGTCCTCGTCAACATCGAGCAACAGAGTCCCGACATCGCTCAAGGCGTCCACGGCCACCTCACGAAGAAGCCTGAAGAGATCGGAGCTGGTGACCAAGGTCACATGTTCGGTTACGCCACCGACGAGACTCCTGAGCTCATGCCGCTAAGCCACGTTCTCGCGACTAAGCTTGGAGCTAAGCTCACTGAGGTTCGCAAGAACGGGACATGCGCGTGGTTGAGACCAGACGGTAAGACGCAAGTCACCGTTGAGTACTTAAACGAGAACGGAGCTATGGTCCCTGTCCGTGTCCACACTGTTCTAATCTCGACGCAGCATGATGAGACTGTGACTAACGATGAGATCGCAGCTGATCTCAAGGAGCATGTGATTAAGCCTGTGATCCCAGAGAAGTATCTCGACGAGAAGACCATCTTCCACCTCAACCCTTCTGGTCGTTTCGTCATCGGAGGTCCTCACGGTGACGCTGGACTCACGGGGCGTAAGATCATCATCGACACTTACGGTGGTTGGGGTGCACATGGAGGTGGTGCTTTCTCAGGAAAGGACCCGACCAAGGTTGATAGGAGTGGTGCTTACATCGTTAGGCAAGCGGCTAAGAGTATTGTTGCTAGTGGGCTTGCGAGGCGTTGCATTGTGCAAGTCTCGTACGCCATTGGTGTCCCTGAGCCGTTGTCTGTGTTTGTGGACAGCTATGGAACTGGGAAGATTCCAGACAAGGAGATTCTTGAGATTGTGAAGGAGAGTTTTGACTTCAGGCCAGGGATGATTTCGATTAACTTGGATTTGAAGAGAGGTGGTAATGGTAGGTTCTTGAAGACTGCTGCTTATGGTCATTTCGGAAGGGATGATGCTGACTTCACCTGGGAGGTTGTGAAGCCACTCAAGTCTAACAAGGTCCAAGCTTGAAAAACTTGAACCAGTTCTCATGTTTTGTCTCTGTTTCAACTCTAAGATGGGTCTATTCTTTTTCCTTTTCAACTTTAAAGAAAACATATAAGCAGTTTGGAATTTATATTTATTATTATTATATTGTTGTGGTAAGAAAGTTAAAGTCATATTTTGTATTTTCTTGTTTCTTTTGAGAAGATGATTATAAAAGAATATTCAATATTATTATTATCCATTTTATTGCATTATCAAATGTCATATGTCAAATGTTTAGGCTATTGAGTGATCAGAGTGCACTAGTGATTCCATGAACGCAGACATCAGCTTCAACGAGACAAACATCTTTAAGCAACAAACCACTACTTGGCTGAGTGAAATAAACCTTTGATACGTATTTAACCCATCCGTTCTCCAAGGTTGATCCACTGAACCATTTAGTAACTGTAAAACAAGACACAAGTTACAAATCAAGAAAAACGGTTCACATATTAAGAATTGAGTTTTTTGTGTTTGTGTGTTACCTTTCCCTGCAATGTGCCTCCCTTGAAGCTGATCATATATTCTTACTGTAAACTCTGTGAATATCTTTGTACCATCTGAGACAGTTTCAGGATCTGCGAGGATCAGATAGATAGACAGATGGGTTCCTGTACCGTGCTTTGTTCCTGATGGAAACAGCCGTATCTTCCTGCGTTTAAACCATTTTTGCATTAGCTTAACATTCTCCTTGATCACTAAATTTTTAAAAACTAATATTAATAGATTAACATTATATGACCCCAAATTGTCGAAAGATTTTTATTACAGTTAACCTAGAAATTATAGTTCCTAAATTTCAGATCCGGCCATGCAACAAGTTACATATGGTTTAGTGATTGTTATTATGGTGTTACCATTTTCTATCTCCAGCGAAGAAAGCATTTGAGTCATAACTTTCTTTGTTTAACTTAGAGAAATTTTCAATCTTCCAGACGTGCTTTGAGCTAGTAGCATCTTTAATCATTGAAAAACATTCTCCTCTGCCACTTCTTCTCTCCTTGGAAACAAATACATCAGCTCCAAACATGCATGTGTCTTCCATAAGGTAACCGTTTGACACATTAAGGAAGGTAGTCGTAGGAATAAACTTATCGAATCCCCATTCACGTTTGACAGTGTGGAACCGTCTCTCTTTCCCTGCAACAAGAGATGCATATGAGAGAAATGAAGAAGTGAAAAAAAAAGTTACAACAAATCTACCTTGTAGGATCAAGTAACTATCATTCTTTTGATCCAGCAAATACAGACGAAAAACAGCGGAAACTTCCCACCCTGGACCCAAGGAGCTAGAGTCTGCCAAAGCCAAGTATACAGAAACATGATCTTTCATGTTCTTGCTCTTGTTTCCATTTGGATACAGAACCAGCTTCCTGCAAGCAAAACCACATATGATGATGATTAATCTTCCATGCTATGATGATTAGTCTTTTATCAAGTAATGATTGTTAAATAATTACATAAATAAGTATAATAAAAGTTGTGTGATAATGATGTCATTACCATTTGTAGCCTCCAGCTTCAAAGCTATCAGTTTCGTATCTCTCTATAGCATGCTTTGTAAGGAGTGAGAAAGACTCTATCTTGACCATGTAATGCGTTGGCGGGGCATCAGATACAGACTTTATGATTTCTGCAATATTTTATCACAAAAGTTACCTTAATACTAGGTGAAAGGGAAAATGAAAACAGTTACACTCTTCATAACCAAACAGGACAACAACAAAAGGTGATACAGCATATTATGGAAAGTTAATCATGAGGCTCATATGTGCATACACATACACCATGGTAAGTCTGTATTTAATCAGATAGGTAAGTGTAAAAAATATAGACTGAAAGAGAAGTGATAATACCATCATGATCACCCAAACTAGCCATGGGAAGATATGCAGAAACCGGAAAGAAAACTAGTGAATATGCAAGTAAGCAAACATTCTATTAGCTTCCTATTTATATATCAAAAAGAAAAAGTGTTTAGAATCAAACATGATATATACTTTGCTTGAAAGGCTTTAACCTTTGCCCTGCATGTGGACTTAGTATTCCTGTGGTTGCAGAAGGAAAAAGCAAGAATATGCATTAACTTAGCAATCATATACTGCATCCCAAAACAAGGTAGTTCCAAAAAGAAGGGAGACAAAGAATCACTTGGAGAAACATGAAAAAGAGTTACGTTTAAGTATTATTCTAATCAGACAACACAGGTCAACCAATGCATTTTGTAATAGAGAGAAACAATACTTAAAAGAGTGTTAAACAAACTTGAAAATCACTCACTCACTAGTTGATTTCTGGTCATAAAACACCACAACTCATTGTGTTTTCAGTGTGCTAGACATTGTATAATCTTCGGTTAAATCACTCGCTTAAAATCGGGTCTTGTATTGTTTTATCAATATTCCGGTTTATCTTCGGTTTAATCTTAAATGACAGTTTTTTTTTAATCATACCGAGAGATACCGGTATTGTATTGTTTTCCGACACACATGGCCACGTGGTTTGCTGAGAAAAGTCTCCGACCACAGTGCTCTCTCGTGTCCGATTATTACCTCCGCTTTTCTCTCTTTCTCCTTCGTTTGATTCGAGACACACAAAAAAACAAAAAAAGAAGGAACGAAAAAAAGCAGTGAGTGTGATTAGTTAACGACGACGGAGAAGACAAAGACGATGGCGACAGAGACGACGACGCAATCATACAGCGAGCAATGGTACTGGGACGAACGCTACACGAACGAATCTGAGCCGTTCGATTGGTACCAAAGCTACTCTTCATTGGCTCCTCTCATCAACCTCTACGTCCCTAACCGTCCCCGCCCCGTCCTCGTCATCGGATGCGGAAACTCAGCGTTCAGCGAAGGCATGGTTGATGATGGGTACGAAGATGTGGTCAATACCGATATTTCATCTGTTGTTATCGATGCTATGGTGAAGAAATACTCTGACCGTCCTCAGCTGAAATGTAACGTCTCTGTTATTCTGTGAATTTTTGAGGAGAAAGTTGTTGTTGTTTAATGTGTGGATCATGTGGAAACAGATTTGAAGATGGATGTGCGTGATATGAAGGCGTTTGGAGATGCTTCCTTTGATGCTGTCATTGATAAAGGTATTATGTTTTGCTTCCATTGTTGTGAATTGTGTGTTTCATGCAGTATTAACATGTTGGACTTTTTTTGTGTGTGTTTCAGGAACCTTAGACTCTATTTTGGTGAGTGAGGTTTACTTTGTCTTCATTTTATGTTATCTCTAGATTTTTATTTCTCATTAGAAAGTCGTATCCTTTTTTCATGTTTAGTGTGGGAGCAATTCAAGGCAACACTCAACGCAGATGCTTGAGGAGGTTTGGAGGTACTATATTCGCAATCTATGTATGAATCAGTTTTATATTTATTACTTGATCCTTTCACATTATAATGAAGCAGTTGATGAATAACTATAGGGTCCTCAAGGATAAAGGAGTCTATATTCTGGTAAAGTCTTTGAGGTTATGATTATGTGTTTCTAGTCTGTTTAATGCACATTTGACTTTTTGGATAAGTTTTATGTAGATTACATACGGAGCTCCGGATTACCGTCTTAGGCTGTTTAAAGACTCACGCTCTTGGACAACCAAACTCCATGTCATAGGTCAGCTATAATTGAGAAACCGTCATTTTTAATTCGTGTATTGTGATAATGTTGGATGAAAGTTCCATGATGTGTGCTAAAACTAGACTTGCTGCTCTTGCAGACAAAAGTTTAACCGGTCAACCATTAGAAACGTCAAAATGGGAACTGACAAAACCCATTCCTCTAGATGCTGAGGGAAGTTCAGTGGAATCTGCAATTGGGAAAAGCCCTGATGTTCATTACATCTATGTCTGTATTAAGGTGTGTAGTTTGATGCTTTCTATATATCCTTTTAGCTAAGTTCCTGTCTCTATGTATGTGGAAATACCATTTGCATCCGGCTTTAATACATGACTAAACCACACACTCTTTTCATTATGGAAATTGTCTTATCTCAGGATGAGTCGTTGAAGAAGGAAGCAGACGCAGTTTGAAGTCATGGGAATTTCTTTTCTGCTCGTTGCTTAGACATATAGGTCCTACAAGGACTTGGCGTTGTCTTTGTTGTATTTATGTGCAACAGGGTATACGATCATATCTTGGATTCATGTTTACTTTCTTGTTAGAAGAGAAACAAAAGTTATATTTTAGCATTCTTGGCTCAACGTTGGTTGCATTATACTCACGATATCATATTAGCATATGCCTTTTCTTCAAAGAAAACAACTTTTTGGCCTATAAATTCTATTATGTCATCTCTTTGGTTTAAGTGTATATCTGCAGATAATGTTTTTTGCGAAGGACTCGAATAGGTTTAATATACTTTGTCAAAATCAAATTGAAATGATTTTCAAAGTATACAAACCAAAGTCGAAGAACAGTATGATTCGACTTGAAGTATAAAACCACTTGATCATCAATGTTATGAAACATTGAAGCTACCAGTCACTCTGATGACAGTCTTTTATTAAAGACAAACTAGCTGTCATTATTAGCCTACAAGGAGCCTCAGAGAGAGAGAGAGAGAGAAAGCACAAGGCTGAGAATCTGCAACGAGGTTGCATCAGGATCTCTGGCTAACCTTGCGTCCTGTTAGCTTCTCTGACTCGAACAACATGTGGTTGATTAGTCCCCGAGCAGCACTGCCAATTGCCAAACAAAAATCATTTTGAGTCCCAAGAGTGCTAATATATGCAGGCATTCTTTTTTTTTTTTTTTTTTGAAACACTTATGCAGGCATTCACTAGGGGGAAAATAAAAGGAAAACACTCACTCATCCTTTAACTTCTGAATCTTCTCAGGGTCAGTCTCATTCATGTGTTTCTTAAATTGCTGCCTCACCATACCAACCACCAGCTCAGTGTTGTGTTGCTGCAACACACAAATGAGTAAACACAAAAAAAGAAGAAGTTAATTCGACAGGATATCGATACAGAAGTAGGGACTTGAGTCAAACAGCATTCTAATATGTAGAAGGCCACACAGCTCAAGAATCAACACGAAAAGGCACATAAGAAAATACAAATACAATACATCCTGCTCTAAAGCAAAAAAAAAAAAAAAAAAAAATCTCTCCACATGTTTGGTCTAAATAATGGAGTAACTAACCATGTGAGGGTACTAAAGACTAAAGAACATTGATGAACTTCAATCAGCATTGGATTTAGGTTCTTTTATGTAATCAATTATCATAATACTAGAAACAGGAATCTCAATCATACCACCAAACACATTTCCACTGAAAGCAACATAGTGTCAAAATCTGACAAAAGAAATTCAAAATCAAATGCTAGAGAGAAACTCACCTGCTTACCAATGAATGTAGCTCTACGAAGACACTCTCGGTACAACTGCACATGAGAAAGAGAGGAATATATCAGTACGAAAATAGCATCAAGGAAAGCAAAAAAAAAAAAAAGACAAGTTAAGCTGGACACTGTAAATAAAAATCAAATAAAACCGATGATACTGACCCTGACAACATTGTTAGCGAGCTCAGGAGGCAAAGAACCTTGTAGAGTTGGCATTGTTGTGCTCCGTTTATTTTCCTAGTAACAGAACACACAAGATACGAAATCATCGATCAGAAACGTGAAAAACTAAAACCTTGAAACTATAGTCGACGAAAGAACAAAAAGCTTTACTTTTTCAAGCCACCATCCAAAATGAAAATGAAAATATCCTTACTTTACGTATAGAAATTAACAAATGTGAGTAATAAAAATAAAATCAAAATCATTTTGAATAGAAACCAGAATCCATTGAAATACCAATCTGAATCGTATACACAAATGAAATGAATAAAAAGTATTCAAACGGAATAGACGGAGACGGAAATAGAGACACAAAATAGATCAAGTCTTACCGGCGTTATTTCCAGCTTCAGATAGAGACGGTGAGAAGCAGCACTCAAAGACGACGAGAGCTTGGGATTTTTCAGATTTCAGACTTTCAATTCAGGTGTAATGTCTAATGGGCCGAAACTATAGACCCATTAAGTTATTAGATTATAAACAAGACTCCTCGTACGGCCCCATAACCAAGCAAAACAACAATTATATACGAAACAAATCTCACCCGTCCATTGATTATGTTACCAACCGTAGATTCAGAGAGTTAGCCTTCCCGCCTAAAATCACAAATAAGGAAAGATTTTAAAGCATCGAAAACCGGAACAGTCTCTTATTTACTCTAACCAAAACCCTAAAAATCCTCTCTCTCTAGTCTCTGCCTATTAGTCTCCCCACGGAAAAGCGACGACGTTGGTATGGACCACAGTGATCTCGCCTCCGGTTCCAGTTCCAGTTCCGATTCCGGTTCTGACTCCGGTTCAGGTCAAATTTCTTCTTCCCTATTTTTGTTTTATCAAGTCCTGTCTCAGCTAAATCTGACTTCTAGCAGATCATATACTTCCTCGTTACTTAATTTTCTTGCTGTTCGTTTTGTGAATCTACCTTTGCGTATATCTCTGTGACCTGCGTCTTGCTCTGTATGTGTACTGTGCTGATTCTAGTGTCTTCTTATGTATAAAAATGTTGTTTTCTCTGTTTGTGTTTAAGTCTGAATATACCCTATTTGTGTATTAATTGTAGTTTCTTATTAGCATGCATATAAGGTTTTACATCTGAATGTGTTGTACAATGGTTATCACCATATTCTAAGGTTTATTCCTTTTTTTGTGAATTAATTTCACATTGTTTTCAATTGTATATTTTAGCCTGTGTATAGGGATCTTTTTGGATATATGTACCGTATTAGGTTGTGTCTTTGTTCATGTGTTATAGTCTGAATTTTTGTAGGTATGAAGAAGAAACAAAAGCTTGACGATTCTGTTGATGATAAACACAAGGCTGTGGATGATTCCTCTTCACAGGAAGAAGAAGAAGAAGATCCAGAGGTTGTGGAGAAGCGACGTTACAGATCTATGGCCAAGGTTGCCATGGGTTACTGTATCAACCCCACCGTTGAGAACTCTACCATCACCGAAATGGTACACATCGTCTGCCCATCTTTCTCTCTCGACACTTCTAAACTCCAGAACACAATCCTCGAAATGTACCAAGAAGGTAAAGAAAAAATCAAGAACCTGTTGAAAGACGCGGAAGGAAAGCTAACACTCTCTTGTGAGTGGATGGTTCTTGGAGACTGGACTAGTGAAGACATAGTAGGTCCGATTCTTCACCAGGATTTCATGGTCATCAGCGCCTACTTCGCCGATGAGAATTTTAAGATGAATAAATGGATCTTGGCTTACCATCCTCATCCTCCTGAGGATATGAAACTGAAAGACGTTTATGTTGATTCATTCAAGAACGTTATTAAAGATTACGAGATTGAGAGCAAGGTCTCAACTCTTCTTGTCCCTAACAACGTTGATCTTGGTCCTGAAGCGTTTGATGGATTTAACCCTAGTGTGTCCCTCATCTATTGCTGCTCTGATATTTTCCGGTTGATGGTTTATGACATGTTTAAGGAGATAAGCATATTGCTGATGGACCTTGTCCGGATGTTGCTTGGTTGGGAGAGGGTAGATAATAGATTGTATCCTACCCATTGGTCTTACACGTTGCATAGACTGCAAACAGCTGTAGATATGGAAGCCAAAGATGTATTCGAAGAAGAGAAATATGACTATTATCATCATCCTTCTGATGAAGAATGGACAAGGATTAGAACTTTTTGTAAACTCACTGGTTGCATTTATAAAGTTGCCAAAGAGATTTTCGATGGTGAGTATCCAACGGCTAATGTTTACTTCCATCTTCTTGTGGAGCTAAGGCTCATGCTGAAAGAAGAGGTCAAGAATGGAGATGGTGATTACTTTCTTGGTAAAGCCAAGGAGATATCAGAGAGGTTTGATAAGTATTGGAACGAGATGTTTCTTGTGCTGGCAACTGCTTCTGTGTTAGACCCTCGTTTCAAGATGAAGTATCTTCACTTTTACTGCTCTAAGAATAGTGATGAAGTTTCAAAAGCAGAGACTGTTTTGGACTACTTACGCATTTTATATTCTCGCTACGCAGCTAGAGAGATACGTCCACTACCAGAACGTGAACCACCTTCTCCTCGCTGTTTCATGTACATGTTCGAAGACGAATCAGAAGAAGAGGAAGAGAAGAAGCCTAACGGTTATGGTGACTTTGCTTTCTTTCAAGAGTATCTCAAGGTTGAAGGATGTTGTTCAAGAGAGTTTCATGAGTCAGAGCTTGATTCTTATTTCGAAGAACCAGTTTTGGAGTGGAGCAAAGAGTTCAATGCATTGGATTGGTGGAGAAAAGAGAGCTCAAAGTACCCGATACTCTCGAGAGTAGCTCGTGACATTCTCTCGATTCCAATCTCTCGTGGCACGTCGACCCGTGCGTATGTTGCTGACAAAAGAGAGTGTCCTGAGTTTATTGTTGCCTTGGAGGCTAAGCTGTTGAACGCCATGATGTGCGGTGAGAGCTGGCCAGCGCCTTTGATATGGCCAAGACGTGACTAAAGAAACATGAAATGCTTTTGCCCTTCATGAAAATTCGGTATCTCTTGTTTTTTTTTTTTTTCATTTCGTTTTCTCTGTTGAAGTTTTTTTTGTTTGCTAAACGAAAATGATAATTTCTAAAAAATGGAAAACTACTATTTTACATCTTTTATGAGTTTATAAACACACATAAAATTACAAACATAATACTCGAAATAATCTCATCCGTCCACAACTTAACATTAGCTACCGTCGGATTCACCGTCTCTAATAATAACTGATAGCCACGTAGGTGAAAAGAACGTTGATGGGATCAGAGAATGTATTGATAGTTCTTCGGTTAACCTACCGGTTTTCGTGGTTTATTGTTGTTCTGATCTGTTCCGGTTAATGGTTAATGATATGTACAACGAGATTAGTTGGTCGCTGTATGAGGATGTTCGTATGTTGGTTGGATGGGGGAGATTGTCATCTACCAACTGGAATGTGAGACTGTATCATCTCCAACAAGCTGTTGATATGCAAGACGACGATGCGTTTTCAAAGGATGAGGTTTACGATGATTATGATAAACCAACTGATGAAGAATGGGTGAAGATTCGGAGTTTTTGTAAGCTCGGTGGTGTCATATATAAAGTTGCGAAGGAGCTTTTTGAGGGAGGGTATGCGACGTCTAATGTTTACTTTCATCTTCTTGCGGAGCTGAAGGTTATGTTGGAAAGAGAGGTTGATAGTGGTGGTGGTGATGGTGATTACTTTGTTGGGAAAGGTAGGAAGATGTTGAATATGTTTGATAAGTATTGGAATGATATGTTTCTTGTTTTGGGGGCTGCTTCGGTTTTGGATCCTCGGTTTAAGATGAAGTATGTTGATTTTTACTGCTCAAGGAATGATGAAGGGTCGAAAGCTGAGGCTGTTTTGGACTATTTAAGGAATGTGTATGCTCGCTATGCAGCTAATGATGTCTATCACAAACCAATAAGCCCGGTTGCTACAATTGACTATGTTGAAGAAGATGATGATGATGATGATGAGGATTATGGTGATGAAGAAGAGAAGAAGAAAACTGATGCATACGAGGATTTTGTTTTGTTTAAAGAATATCTAAAGTTCGAAGGAGGAGGATGTTTAAGAGAGTTCCAAGAATCAGAACTCGATTCATATCTCAAAGAACCAGTTATGGAGTGGAACAAAGACTTTAAAGCATTGGAATGGTGGAAAGAAGAGAGCCAGAAGTATCCAATCCTCTCACGTGTTGCTCGTGACATTCTCTCTATACCGATCTCACGTGCAACGTCGTATGATGCTTATGTTTCGGAGATAAGAGAGCCTCCTGAGTATGTTCTTTCTATGGATGCTAAAGCTGCTAACGCCATGGTGTGTGGCAGAAGCTGGTTATCACTTATACCAATTTGATGATGATTATGGCAAAATTGGTCGGATCAACTTTTCTTTCTCTCTATTAAGAACTTAAAGATGCTTTTGTAGCCTTCATGAAACTTAATAACTACGTTTTCGTTTTGGTACTTTTGTTTCCCATTTCTATATCAATATCATCTTCTTTTTTATTGAAGAGTTGTTTACACAATAGTATTCTGAGCTCTCTGTTTTAGTATTATGCTAATTCAGCTACATTTTCACAAAGAATAACACGTGGTAGGCTAGCAATACTGATGACTACTAGAGATTCAATTTTTAAATACATAAATAAATTAGTTAGCTTTTGATTTGGAATATGGTTTTGGCGATCAACTATGATGCGGCTTAGTGAAGATATTGCTAGAGTATGTCATGCTCATCTCACCATGAGTGAGAGGCTATCAAGGAAGCTGCCATGGCTACTAACGACAAGCCTATTCACATGTAGAAAAAGCCTATAGGTAAATCACGGTTTAAACCGGGATTGTTTTGGTTACATTTGGTTTGGTTTTATAACCTTAATTTCGATTTTCTGAGGTTACGGATGATGAGATGAAAGAATAAATGTTACCACTCTTTTAAATTTATATTGATTTTTTAATTTTATTTTTGTATGGACGAAACAGAAAGATGTTTGTCTTGGCGATATCTTCTCCTTCAACCACTCTCATCAGACTATCAAAACCAAATGGGCCAAACCGTTCACCGGTTCGAAAAATCCTCTGCCTGAATCAGCAGAGGCAACAGAGCAAAACCAGTACCGGAAAATCTTGGATCCTCCCAACAAGTCTTTCGCTCTTTGGTTCAGGCTTCCTCTTGGGTCCTCTTCTCGATGGTCTCCACTCACGTGTCGATCTCGTGGTTTACAAAACCGGAGCTTTTCAAATCGGTCCTCTTCACACCAACATCTGGGTAAACTAGTTTCTCAAGAACCCATCATGACCTTGAAATCATTTCACAAACGTTCTAATATTGTAAATGTGTACTTCTTCAGGTCCCATTCTTGCTTGGCTTATTTTACTGCACAGTAGGTTTACTGCA